GTAGGACACTTGGAACTGACTGCAAAGTGAGAAAATTGTGGAAGGGTATCCAAGCCCATAAGTTGATCCATGAACGATCAGACCCAAAACCGACTTCACAATTATTGATCCAATATCGATCGGCAGTCCACTTTGGATCCAGTAATTCAAAATAGCACTTTCTTTAGAAATTTTACCGATCTTCATTGTCGGTAACAATTTCACAGAAATGAAAAGGTGTCAGTGTTTCGAAACGGGATTTAGGAGTGTCGCAGAAAAATTAACATACTCGTTTTCTTCTGTTTCCCAGTCGTCAGTTTCGTCCGTTAAATATTGGTAAATTTCAATCATCTGGTTTCTTGTCGGGACGAAATTGAAATAGTGACAGACAGGAATGTTCTCTATCATGTATAATTCGTTGATCAGTGCAGGAGTGAAAGTAATCCATCTTCCTCGCACATAAACAACTCTCTGGTTGATTCCAAGTAAATTTGCATAAAATTATTTTACCACAGGAACAACCACGGCGGCGGTAGTGTAGCACAGCACTTCCCATCTTTGCCGCGCTATCGTTTCTTCAATTGCCGTTGTGGGATTATTCAATCCGCGATTTACGAATCCTAGTTCTTTGATCAATCTTTTCTTCGTCAGTAACTTATTGAAGATTCGTTGCGCTTCCGCACTAATAAACTTTCGCCGATTGAAAACTCGCATTCTGGGATTATCAGGGGAATTGGACACCATAGGAATGAAATTGGTGGGGGAAAATATGAACTAGGAATCAAAATTCAGAGTTTAAAAGGATAACTCCCGCCCAAAAACCGCCAAAAACTGTCATTTGAACCCAAGAAACCGCTATCTCGCCGGTCTCGCCATCGACGGGGTCGAGGGCGCCGTCGGCGAGCCTCTGTATTATTTTGCCTGGACTCTTGGGAAAAACCTGTCGTCGTCGGCGTCAAGGACGTCGTCGGCGCCCAAGGCAAAAATTGCACAGTTTGCTCTGGTCCGAATGAGTTCTAATTTTTTTCTATGGATCCATATTTTATGATGATTCAAGGGTAAATAAGAGTAGCAGAGCTTAATACTACCACAAACTAACGGTAATTTCAAATGCAAACTACTATAAGCGCGATAAAAGTAAAGATAGATATGGGTTGCCTCCCAATAAGCGCTTGGTTTAACGTCGTCAGCCCGACCTATTCAGGTGTCATTCAGGTTGACTGATCATTAAAACCTCTTTTGGTCTTTTACCCTCAAAATATGGTTTTAATCTGTGTCCATTTACTTTAAATCTATTTCCAGTCTTTTGATCTTCAATCTCAACAGTTCCGCAAGTATAAACTTGAGTCACAGTAAAGGGTCCTAACCAACGAGACTTCAATTTCCTAGAGAATAATTTCAACCTAGTGTTGTAAAGTAAAACTTTTTGTCCTGGTTCAAAGTTCTTCTGGTTAATCCTCCGATCAAGCCATAACTTTAGTTTTTCCTTATAAATACTGTCGTTATCATAAAACTCATTTCTTAATTCTTCCAATTCATTTAGTTGTAACAATCTCTTCTTACCAGCATCTTTCAAATTATAATTGAATTCTTTAAT